TTTCATTTCTAGACATTCACCCAAATTAATTGAGAGCAGGGACATGAGCAGAAATGTGCACACAGTTGTATATAGAAGTGTTATTCAAAGTAGCCAAAACAAAGAAGTAACCCAAGTGTCTATCCATAGATGAATGGATAAACAAAATGTGTGTGTATGTACATTTAAATGGTTGTAGAAAGAAAGGATATTCTGACCCACGATATGGCATGAATGAACTTTTTGAACCTTGAAGATCTTATGCTAAGGGAAATATATCATTTCTAAGAGAACCAAATGCTATATGATTTACTCATATGAGGTGTTTAGTCAAATTTATAGAGACAAAACATAGACTGATGATTGCCAGGAGCTAGGAGAATGGGACAATGGGGAGCTATTGCTTAATGGGTACAGAGTTTTGGTTTCACAAGATGAAGAAGTTCTGGAACTGGATGGTGGTCATGGCTGCACAACAGTGCCAAGGTACTTAATGTCATTGGATTTTATACAGATAGTACTGTACTTATGGCTTAGGATTTTTTGACTTTATAATAGTGTTAAAGTAATATGCATTCAGTAGGAGAAATATTTTGACTTGACCTTTTCGTAGGCTGATGATGTTCAGGGAAGTCGCAGCGAGCCTCAGCTCCCAGTCAGCTGTGTGATCATGAGGGTGCACAGTAGATACTCTAAAGTGTTCAGTGCTATGCAGCTCTGTTTGATAGAGTAAGAGTATTTAATGCATTTTTGACTTATGATATTTTCAATTTAGGGTTAGTTTGTTGGGCTGTAACCCCATCATAAGTCAAGGAATATCTGTATTTAAGGATGGTTAAAATTATAAAAACAAACAAACTCAATAGGTTGAACAAAATAAGCAAGTCATAGGAGTATGCATATGGTGTGATACCATTTATTAGAGTAAAGTTTTGCAAGTTACAAAAGAACTATGTCTCATAAATATAGAAATATTTATAAGCAAGTATGGGATAGTGGTTGCTTCCAGAGAAGAAATAAATAAAGAAACTCAAATTGGAGGGAGTTTCAATCATGTTGGTTAAGTTTTCTTTCTTTAAAAAATCTACAGGTTTAAATATGGTAAAATATTGAGTTTGACAAATCTGGCTAGTAGTATTTGTAATGTCATTCTTTGGACTATTCTGTGTGCTAGACTAGCTTATTGACTTAAAGGAAATCTTCAAAAAGTCCAATTTTTAATTTTAATGCTTGTTTTTATTCTCTCAGATCCTTTTCCTGACTCACTTCTTACATGGTTTTCTGAGCTTATTTTATAGTAGTTGTCTTGAAAATCAGCTTTCCCTCTCTCTCTGTTCCTAGTTTGTGCTGGATACTCACCCAAATTATTTATACTTTAGCCCAAGGTAGACTCTTTTGGGTCACTGTCTTTTTTGACTCTGGGTGTTTCAAAATGATCTTAAAGTTCTCTGAAAATTTTGTAATAAGCTGGTTTGTATAAGCCCTGCTCTTCCATCTGACTCTTTTTTTCTGTTTAATTCCTTTTATGCACATTCTTTTTTAAAAAATAATTATGTGATTGTAATAATATAATAATTGTACACTTTATAAGTCATGGCACATGTAGGGTGTGTGTGTGTGTGTATGTGTGTGTGTGTGTGTGTTTGTGTGTGTGTGTGTTGGGATAGGATGAGATTACTGAAGTCAAATTGCCTTCTCATTAGCTGACTCTTTGACATTTCCATTTCTTTCTTCTTCAGAGTTTATACCCTTTATAAATTATCCATCCTCAACTCCTTTTGGAAAATGAAATAATTTTTCAGAATTTTGTCATTTACTTCTATAGTTTCAAACATTCATAAACCTAAGTTATGGAAAAACAAAAGTAATCAAATTGACCTTATGCAATTTTTTTTCTCTCTGTTTTTGGTTCCAGGGATTGAACCTGGTGATAGTTGACCACTGAGACACATCTTTAGCCCTTTTTAAAAAGTTTTAGACAGTGTCTAAAGTCAATTTCATTGGATTCTTATAAAGATCATTTTAAGTAATGTGGATGAAAACACTTTGAAATTTTTATAGTGCAACACATATATAATGTACATTTTTAAAGTTAATCTAATGTAAAATTGGCAGACTATTTTTGTGCACAGGCATTTATTATAGTATTACTTAAAATAGAACATGGACTGTTAAGGAAATTCATAGATATTATGTGAATGGTGCTTCTATGGGTACAGTGTTGAGAAGACACTGGATTAAACAAAGTTCAGTTAGGTTTCTGTACACTTATACTCTTTGTTTTTTTTTTTAAATATATTTTTTAGATATACATGACAGGAGAATGTAGTTTGACATATTATATATACATGGAGTGTAACTTCTCGTTCTTGTGGTTATACATGATGTGGAGTTACATCGGTGGTGTATTCATATATGAACATAGGAAAGTTATATCTGATTCGTTCTACTGTCTTTCCTATTCCCATCCTCTCTTCCTTCCCTTCCTTCCTTTGTCTAATCCAATGAACTCAGTCTCTCCCCTCTTTATTGTTAGTATCCACGTTGTCAGAGAGAATATTTGGCCTTTGGTTTTTGGGGATTAGGTTATTTCAGTTAGCATGATAGTTTCCAGTTCCATCCATTTATAGGCAAATGCTATAAATTCATTCTTCTTATGGCTGAGTAATATTCCATTGTCTTATATACTCTCTTTTGAGAATAATAGGCAAATATAATTTGTGATAAGAGAGAAATTATTCAAACTAAGGAATCCTCCATTTGGGAGATATGTGTATTTTGAAATACACTTTGGGAAATACAACTAAAGATGTATTTTATTGTTTCATTCCTCTAGCTTCTTTTTCTAAACTATGATTTGGGTTTTTATAATTTCTTTTATATTCATTAATAAGAATACTTAAAACCAATTTATTATATGTGTTTGGAGACGTGATTATTTAAGTAGGAAAGCAATTACTACATTATGACTTTGACTTTTACAATTAACTATATTTTAGAGTATTTTCTTGTTCCATAAGGTCTTCTAAACTTTCTAAAAAAATTGTTTCTGTAAAACTTGCTAAACTTATGTACTTCTACTACATACTGCCTTTAGATATGACTTACCTAAGAAGATGAAATCTGAAACATTGTCCTGAAAATGTCCCTACACATTGAATGCTGAATTATTTGAAATCTCAAAATCTATGCTAATAAATATCAATTTTAAGGTTACACTGAAATAATATGTATATTGTTTTCAATCATCGTTTTCTATAATTTTTTCCTTTTTATTTTTTTAAGTTACACATAGCATTAGGATTCACTTTTTTTAAGAGAGAGAGAGAGAGAGAGAGAGAGAGAGAGAGAGAGAGAGAGAGAGAGAGATTGATTGATTTTTTAGTTTTTGGCGGACACAACATCTTGGTTTTGTATATGGTGCTGAGGATCGAAACTGGGCCGCAGCCGTGCCAGGCGAGCGTGCTACCTCTTGAGCCAAATCCCCAGCCCCAACATTAGGATTCACTTTGACTCGATTGTGAAAGAATGGAATATAATTTTCTCTAATTCAGCCCTGAGTACTTCCTTTTTCCCTCCTTTCCTCCCTCCCCCGTAACTTTCTAGTACTTTACTGATTTTTCTGCAATTTAATTTTAGTTCGTTTTTTAAATTAGTGTCTTATAGATGTACATGATGGCGAGATTCACTGCGTTATATTCATATATGTACATAGGAGAGTTAGGTCAGTTTCATTCCACTATTCCCTTACCCTGTCTCTCCTCCCTCCCTTTCAATGCCCTTCATCTAGTCTACGAATCTTTCTTCTATTTCGATGGAATCCCCCTTCCCTTTTCTTCTTTATCTCCCCCCACCCCATTTTGCACTATCTTTTGAATATCAGAAAAAAAATTGACCTTTGACTTTATGGGTCTGGTTTATTTCACTTGGCATGATAGTTTCATCCATTGACCAGCAAATTACATAGTTTCATTCTTCTTTACAACTAATACTCAGTTGTATATATATGCACCACATTTTCTTTTTCATTCATTTGTTGAAGGGCACCTAGGTTGATTCCGTAGCTTGGCTGTTGTGAATTATTCTGCTATAAATATTTATGAATATGTCTGTAGTATTGTAATGTTCTGATTTTAGGTCTTTAGGATATATACTGACTAGTGGCATCGCTGAGTCATATGATGGTTTCATTCCTAGTTTTTTTTTGCTTTCTAGAGTTGTTGCATGAATTTGCAGTCCTACCAACAATATATCAGTGTACCTTTTCCCCCACATCCTTGCCAACACATATTATTTGTATTCTTGATAATTGACATTTTGCCTGGAATGAGACGAAATCTCAATGTAGTTCTGATTTGCTTTTCCCTAATTGCTAGAAATATTGAACAGTTTTTCATATATTTGTTTGCTATTTGTATTTTTTATTTGAGAAGTGTCTATAGTTTTTATATAGCTGATGATTTATTTTTTTCATTTTCTATCTAGGTTTTTGAAATAAAATTATTTCCTTCTATCTAAAGTAAAAACTATTCTTTTGAAATATCACATTAGTAAAGATTTAGATATCTTATTCAGATGGTTCTCTTTTCAGGCATTCTTTTAGTGAATATTATATATAATATTTGTCTTGTGTACATATATGTAATATTTGCTGTAGTATTTAACTTTCCAAAGGTATGCTTTATATTGATATTCGTGAGTTTTACTATATGAACTTTGATATACATATAAAGATATGTCATTGAAATTATCTTCCAATGTAAAATATAATTTCATTCATTTCCTTTATTCTCATATACTTAAAATTATTGTGAGGATTTTATATAAGAGCTGTTTCTATTTAAGGAATAATGAAAGTTGGCTTATGATTCTAAATTATAGGTCATGGAGAATTACTATTTTGTTGGTTTCTTGATTTTAACTATTATATCTTTAATTTGGCCAGTGATGTTTTTTTACATTATTCATCTTAATTTATTCTTTTATTTCATTTTTTGTTTCCCTGTTTTGTTTTTTTCTAGCTTGTGATGAATGGAAAACATTACCGAAACCAAATCTTCATAGAGATGTCAACAGATTTGGACACTCTGCAGTAGTCATTAATGGGTAAAAGAAGAACATTCTGAACTTTTAGAGGGTCAAGGATGTGAATGCTCCATGCATTCTCTCATTCTCGTATTCTTTGTGAAAATCATCCATTGGTATTTAATGGCACTGGATTTTATGCACCCCTATTCTATTGTGGAATACATTTTGGTTTATTAACCATATGCTTCATTATTTTTTGTTTAAATATATTTGAGGGGTAGGAGAGTGATCAAGCAAAGATGCTGAGATAAAACTTTGAGTACCTTTTAAAGTCATCTGATTTTTTAATTTTTTAATTTTTTTTTTTTACTTTTTCCAGAGATCAGATAAACAATGACTCTTCCTTTAAAAAGATCTAACTGAAGTGATGGAGAGGCTAACCCCAGTTTCTACCAATGAGAACAAAGAAAGTGCGAATTAGATTCTCATTTTAGTTTTGTCCTTGACTAAATACATGATTGTTTGGGCAGTCTCTTAACTTCTCCAGACTTGACTATCCTTATATCCCTCAGGAAACTGAGCTGGAGGGTCATTAAATTACCTTTCTCCTTTAAGTTAATATAGGTTTTAAATATTTCAATAAGAAAAATTCTGTAGTGTGGACTTAGGTAACAGTAAACAATATGCAGTTTATTCATTAGCTTAAAATGTGTAATTCAGAATGACATTTTTATTATTATCTTATCCTAATTATGTAAAAATTCTTCCCTATTGCCACACAATGGCTTGTTAACCACAGTGAAGCGGTGTATATTATCAATTGACTCTCAAAAGAGTAATAAATGGAATTCAGTGTGAAATGTAAAACCTCAGGCCTTTTCTGTTGAAAATTGTGTTTGATTTTTATTTTATTTTTTTTATAATAAAAGATATTCTCAACACATCTTTCTGACCTTTTACATTTACTATGTTAACAATATTTTGAGAAATAAAAAAATTATGCTGTTTGGGAGGGCATGTCAAAGTTCTTTCATAGTGGTTAGTATTAATTTAACATTGTCTAGGCTTCTCTTTCAAAATTAAAATTTAAAAAATCTTTTTGATATTTTACTCTTGATATTTTTATTTTAAAAGTAAATAACTACAAGAATAATTCTGTATGTAACTTCTTAATACTGTGTGTATTAGAATGATTAATTAAAAATTATTTCAGGTTGCAGTTCTAAAATGCATCATCATTAATATATAGCTATTAATTATTTCTTAAAAAATTGTTTTCTGCTTTATTAAAGCAGTAGTTATTTTTCTGATAAAAGGAATGTCATAATTCTTGGTCCTTCAGTTTTCTCACATTATGTTTTGAAAACTTAATGTTTCCTTAATCCTTTATGATTTATAGAACATTTTGGATTGTATCTGGCAAGTCATAAAGAAATCTCATATTAGTTATTTTGGTATTTTCACATCATATTACATGTTAGAAATATGATTTTAAGGTACATAGTATTTAAAAATAATATAAAATTTATAGTTAAATTTATTTAAAAAACTAATTAGAGACTTTTAATATGTTTGTTTAAGATTCTTGTTTTGTTTTTAATAGGTCCATGTATATATTTGGGGGATTTTCTAGTGTACTCCTTAATGATATCCTTGTATATAAGCCTCCAAATTGCAAGGCTTTCAGAGATGAAGAACTTTGTAGAAATGCTGGTCCAGGGATAAAATGTATTTGGAATAAAAATCACTGCGAATCTTGGGAATCTGGAAATGCTAATAATATTCTTAGAGCAAAGTGCCCTCCTAAAACAGGTAAGCTTTTATTTTTTGTTTTCCCTCTTTCTGGTATTGAAACAACTCTACCTGACTGGAAATAGAAATTCATTTTTTTAAATATGAATTACCCTTGAAGCTTTCAGAAATGAAAAACTTATTATCCTCTGAATTATAATATGTGACTCAATAGGAATTAATAATTTAATATCTTTGTTAGCTACTTTTAACTATATTTTTGAAATCTATGTATTATATCTATCTTATATGTAACACCATCCATATGCATGAATTATTTTGTAATATAAATTTAAAATGCCTTAAATATATCATTTTAAGAAATATTACATACTTCAAATAAATAATACAAAATGATTTATTTTGCATTTGATATTTTTCTTCTTCCTAAATTATTGCCATGCCATATCTTAAAGTTAAATTTTTTTTAGAATTTGATGATCAGTGTTCTAATTTTATGTTTCTTATAACATGTTGAATGAGTAAATCAGGCTTATAAAAATTATCAGTCAGCATTATTTTATTTATGTCTATTTGCTTATAATTTGGATAAAAATTGTTAAGTTTGCTTTAAATTGGTGAAGGCTTCTATACATTTTTGAGGCTACAACAAAAATATATTTTTTAAGTTTTGCTAATCTATATTAACTTAAATTTCTCTGAATATATTTGTTTAAATGACAGTAAAAAATAATTTATTAAGTTCTTTATCTTCCAAAAATGTATAAATTTAAATGTCTGGAGGATTCTGATAGATTGAATTGTTAAGATGCAGAAAGTAGGTATTTAAAATCTTTTTTTTAATGTTTATTTATTTATTTATTTATTTTTAATTTTTTTTAATTTTGGTATTTAAAATCTTGTAAAAACAAATAAGCTACCAGGTTAACTTCATCTTAGAGAACTGTTTTTGCCAGTGTAGGTTTTTTTTTGGTTAAAAATGTCTCAGTGATCCTTAAATAGATATTATAAATGTATGAATTAAGAAGTGTGGCAATTTTCTTTTTTTGCCCCAATGTTTTTTATCCCCCATTTGTATTACAGCTGCTTCTGATGACAGATGTTACAGATATGCGGATTGTGCCAGCTGTACTGCCAATACGAATGGGTGCCAATGGTGTGATGACAAGAAATGTATTTCAGCCAATAGTAACTGCAGTGTGGTTAGTATTATGGGTGGACAGTGATGTACTTAACATTGCTGCGTTATATCACTCACTCACTCACCCACCATTTGGTAGTACAGTACAAAAATAGAACTTTACACATTAAGACATTAAATATGTAGGGAATCATTCACTTATTGGTACATTATAAAGTCAGACTGGAGTTTTTTGCTCAGATTTTTCAGTCTAGATTCTCTTTGGATATAGTAATTTTCATTTATGTTTGTGGATAAGACTGAAAAATTTTTAAAAATTAAAAAAAAAAGACTAACTTTAAATGTTATCTTCTTTACTGATAGAAATAGGATTATTTAGGTGGTTGAAATCATTTCCATGGGATTCCTGTATCAAACATTTTGTTCATATACTTTTTGTTGAAATATAACCAGAGATGTTGATAGTAGTTTCTCTTCTGTCTTTAGATTATTGGCTCTGAACTTGAAGCAATTTGTCCCATGGGGGACGTTTAGCAATGTGTGGAGAACTTTGTGGTCATCAGAACTATAGAGCTGCTACAGGCATCTAGCATGCAGGGGCCAGCGATGCTGTTAACCCTTCTACAATGCATGGAATACCCCTTCCACAGCAAATAATGATCTGACTCAAAATGTCAATAGTGTTGAACCTCTTTTTTTAAATGAAGGACTACTGAAAAAAATTCCAATATTAATATTTATAGTAGATGAAAATGAATTAGGAGCAGCAAAAATTAACATTTTAAGTGGATAGAATCAAAGTATCATATTTTAAAAGAATACATCAAAAAATGAAAGGGAAATTTAAAAAAAGTAGTATTTAGTGGATTAAAAGGCTTTTTTTTATTCATCTATAGGTTAAGTAAAAAGAAATAATGTGTACATAGATTTCCAACTAAGTACAGTATTTAGTGTGTTACTATTTCTAAATTTTTACTAGCCAACAAATGGTCCACGTATTTTTCAAGATAATAGAAATAAAAGGTTAAAAAAAAAGAAGAGGATTTGTAAGTAAATGGATGGAGTAGGAGAATATAATGCTAAGTGAAGTAAGCCAATCCCCCCAAACCAAAGTTTTCTTTGATATAAGGATGCTGATTTATAATAGAGATTGGGGGGAGCATGGGAGGAATAGACAAACTTTAGACAGGGTAAAGGGGAGGGAGGGGAAAGAAGGGGGCATGTGGGTAGGTAGGTGGTGGAATGAGATGGACATCATTACTCTAAGTACATGTATGAAGACATGAATGGTGTGACTCTACATTGTGTATAACCAGAGATATAAAAAATTGTGCTCTATGTGTATATTATGAATTGAAATGCATTCTGCCATCATATATAACAAATTAGAATAAATAAAAAATTGATAACTAAAAAAAGGAGGATTTGAAAATAAGTAAAACTTACGGTTATATCATCTAAAAGTTTTCCTCAATAACCAATAATATTTCAAAATATTTAGATTTTATGATTTTATTCTAAAATAGTATTCAAACTTAAAAAGGAGAAAAATTAGCAGTTATTGACTGATTAGTTTGAACCGTTTTTCTTTCATACATATTTTGTTAGTATATACTTTCTAGTTTTATAAGTTGCTCTAATAACAAGCTATGCTTCAGTTCTGTTTGAGTTTTAACATAAATATGACATAACTATGCATTGAAAATTTAAATTATAGTTTTATATTTTCAATAATATTCATTTAATTGGAATTTATTTTAATGGAAATAGGTGCTAGGTAAAATAAGTCATAGGAATAAAGGACTTGTACTTGGGTTCTTCAGAGAAACAGAGCCAGTAAGATACATACTATGTACATAATATTTATAATAAGGAATTAGCTCACATGAGCCAATTATGAAAATTATAAAATGTCCCATGATCTGCCTGCCATCTGCAGACCGAAAGTCCAAGAATATTGGTGGTATAAATTCCGGTACAAGAATGGAGCCTTGTGAAACTGGGCATGGCACAAACCTATAATCCCATGGGCTTGGGAAGCTGAGGCAGGAGAACCCTGAGATCAGAGCCAGCCTCAGCACCAGGGGGCGCTAAGCAACTCAGTGAGACCCTGTCTCTAAATTAAATACAAAATAGGGCTGGGGATGTGGCTCAGTAGTTGAGTGCCCCTGAGTTCAATCCCTGGTACCCTCTCAAAAAGAATGGAGGCCTGTGAATCAGTAGCTCTAGGGGTGTAAGTTCTGGCCAAGGATAGGAAAAGACTGTGCCTGAGCTCAGTAGTAGGGAACAGAGAAATTCTTTTCTTAACCTTTTTGTTGTATTCAGGCCCTTGGTGTACTGAATGATTATCCATCTTCGGGAAGGCATTTTGCTTTTCTGAAGTCTATGGATTCAAATGGTTATCTCATTTGGACTCATCCTCATGGACATACCCAGAAATAATATTTAGCAAAATATTTTATCTGTATCCTGGTCAAATTTACACTTAAAATTAATTATCATGTAATTAAAATAGAAAACATTATTGATTAAAAATTGCAAGAAGATTTTATTTTAACCTTTCTGGATAACTGCATAACTGTTAAATAATAAAAATTTATTTCTCACGGCTCTCTATGTAGGCTAGGAAGTTAAACTGTGCACTGACAGATTCAGATCTGGTGAGGACCTGATTTCTGGTTCATAGAAGGACCTGATTCCTGTCTTCTTAATGCTTTCTCCCAATGGCAGAAGGGAAGCTACTGTTCCTTCAGCTTCGTATAATGTTACCAATCCTATATTTGAGTACCTCGCCCTTCTGACCAAAATCACACATAAAGTCCTACCCTCCTGATACCATCACTTTAGGGGTTAGGCTTCAACATATGAATTTTGGGGTATACATTCAATGCATGCAGACATTTGTATGTGTAAGATGAACACGCGTAGGTGAAAATACACGTCTCAAAAATCACATTATGTAAAATTGCTATCAAATACTTATTTATAATGTGTGCTTTTGCTTTTATTTTATTTTTAATGTGTTAACAAGGAATGCATTGGATGACAGTGTACATGAGGAGATAGTATGCACTTATAATTTAGAATTTAATGTAATGTATGTTTTAGCCAGTTTTATCAAAATGTCTGGTGATTAGGCTAAACCAAGTGCTACTGGATACAAAAGGTCTATAGAATTTTAGACAAAATTATGTGTATTGATATTCTATTTCATTATTTAGCCATATTTTCTACAAGTTGCATAATTTGTTTTCTAACATCAACTGATCTGTATGCTGTATAATCTGTAGTTAGAAATTTCAAATTTGAAATTACATCTTAATATAAGGAGAAGATTAGGAGCGTAATGGTTACTCTCCATAGTCAGTTTACTAATGCACATCTGGTTCATTACATCAAAAATGTAGCCATGTTTCAGAATAACAGTCAGACTTCTTCTGTTATTGGTACATTGTTCCTGTGAGAGAAATGCAGTTTCATCTGTTGTACTTGTTCAGTATCAGTAAATGACTCTATAGTTCTTAATGAAGAGCAGTAGAATTATTGGATGGGGATTCTGATGTTACTGTCATTATTTTGAAGACCAGCATTAAGCTGTTATTTCTTCTCTTATTCCAACATGTTTAGCCATAATGATCGTGTAAAATAATGTCAACAAAATCTATTAATCAGAAAAATATCCAGAAAGAAGTTTATATGTTCATAATGAAAATGTGGTGATTGAATAAGTCACAAAGTAACTTAAAATTTATAAATATGTATAAAATGGAATATTTTATAGAAAGTAAAGATGAACATTATATATGGGTACTTTTTAAATCTATTACAGTAAATGTAATGTGCTCTAAAGAAATTAATACCTATGAAATGAAAGTGACTGTAGTGTATTTTATAAAGGAGAGTATGATACTTTGTGAATAAATATTTAGTGAGTGACATTTAAAATACCTAAAAGGATAAAAATTGTTTTAATAATTTTATATGTAGGATAGTTGTTCCTTAATTTTAATTTTTAGGCTATTTATTGAAGATATTTAACTCTTTTACGTGAGAAGGTCTAAGGAAAACATTTGCATCAAATACACAGGAAAGATTGTTGTAAGGCTTAGGGTGTAGAATTAATTGTTTTGTATTTTTTTCCTCAAAAATGGAATCACAGGAAGAATTGAGTAAAAATTTTTAATAGCTGATTTTCCAGGAGGTAGACTTTGTCATAGATAATGAAGTCATGTGAGGTAGTTGAACCTAGGTTTTTAATAAGGAACTACAATCAAAGTTCCTATATGGCCTTTTTTTTTCTTTCTTGACCTTTAATCTTTAACTTCAACCAGAATTAGTTGAAATGATTATATTATGTAGTAGTATTAAAAAAAAATTAGAAGCTTTTTTTAACCTCTATGAAGGAAATATGACAGGTACATGCAAAAGACACATTAATTTTTATTTAGGATTGTGGAAGTAAAATTATTTTGACTTATTGTGAAAGTATTTTTTTCAGATTGTATTGGATTTTCATAAATATCTCTCTCTCTTTTTTTACTACTTATCATGTTGTGCTTCATTTCCAAGGGTTTGCATGATATTTTATTAAGATAGAATCGTATCATGTTTTCATTAAGGGAAATGACTTTATACATTGATTTTATTTAATTGTAAGCTGTTTTCAAACTCTTTTAAAAAAGTTTTCATTACATAGATTCAATTCCAAATTGTGCAATTTGCACAAGTTTTTAAACTAATTTTAGAATTTATATATGTCAGCAGAATGCATTACAATTTTTATTACACATAGAGCACAATTTTTCATATCTCTGGTTGTATACAAAGTATATTCACACCAATTTGTGTCTTCACACATGTACTTTGGATAATAATGTCTATCACATTCCACCATCATTTCTAACCCCATGCCCTCTCCCTTTCCCTCCCACCCCTCTGCCCTATCTAGAGTTCGTCTATTCCTCCCATGCTCCCCCTCCCTATGCCACTATGAATCACCCTCCTTATATTAGAGAAAATATTCGGCATTTTTTTTGGGGGGATTGTCTAACTTCACTTAGCATTATCTTCTCTAACTCCATCCATTTACCTGCAAATGCCATGATTTTATTCTCTTTTATTGATGAGTAATATTCCATTGTGTATTTATGCCACTTTTTTATCCATTCATCTATTGAAGGGCATCTAGATTGGTTCCACAGTTGAACTATTATGAATTGTGCTGCTGTTTTTTGATGTGGCTGTATCCTTGTAGTATACTGTTTTTAAGTCCTTTGGATACAGACTGAGGAGAGGGATAGCTGAGTCAAATGGTGGTTCCATTCCCAGTTTTCCAAGGAATCTCCATACTGCTTTCCATATTGGCTGCACCACTTTGTAGACCCACCAGCAGAATCTGAGTGTTCCTTTTTCTCCACATCCTAGCCAACACTTAATTTTGTTTGTATTCATGGTAGCTGCCATTCTGACTGGAATGAGATGAATCTTAAGAGTTTTTTAAAATATTTATTTTTTTTAGTTATAGGAAGACACAATATCTTTATTTTATTTTTATGTGGTGCTGAGGATTGAACCTAGTGCCTCATGCATAGTAGGCTAGTGTTCTTCCTTTGAGCCACACCCCAGCCCGAAATCTTAAGAGTTTTGATTTGCATTTCTCTAATTGCTAGCAATGATGAACATTTTTTCATATACTTGTTTATTGATTGTATATAATCTTCTGAGAAGTGGAAGTTTTTTTTTTCAATAAGAACTCATTCTAATTACTAGAACAATAGTTAAACTTGCTAAGAGAAAAAAATTAAATAAATGGAATTTAGCCTAGTTTGAGCAAAGAACAATTCATGAATTGGACAGAACTCTGAACCAATAGAGGTTTGGAGAGCTTCTCCTCAAATCAGTTGGTATTTATAGCAGGACAACCATAGTAATATATAGAAATAGCTCAATTGGTTACATGGATGCTTGCCTTACTTGGGAATGGTGTGATGATATAATTGCCTTATATGGACATGGTCTGATCAGCTGGCAGCCTGTGATTGTCTGAGATCATTTATCTATTGCAAGCATGTACTCAATAATAATAAGTAAGTTGCAGTTTGCTTACTTACTATGTTAGCTTGCAGTGCACTATGTATAAAGATAAATTAGTGCCAAATTTAATTTAATAAATGAATGACATAAGTAAGAGAATTCTGATTCAGTAGAATTGGATTTAGAGTTGGAAAAATGTATTTATAAAGTTCACCAGGAGACTTAAAATACACTGATGTTTAAGAATCACCACTTGTGCAATGATGAAAAACAATGTACTTTATCTTTTGATTTTCTAGTCTGTCAGAAACTACACCAAATGTCATGTGAGAAATGAACAGATTTGTAACAAACTTACTAGCTGTAAAAGCTGTTCACTGAATTTGAATTGTCAGTGGGATCAGCGACAACAAGAATGCCAAGCTTTACCAGGTAAAAATTTCAAAATTTGGTAAATGAGTTGTCTAGTTTACAGATGACTACCATTAGAGTAAAGTGTTTTTAGTGTAAATGTTACATTTTCTAAAATTAAAGCAATGAGCAAGGATCAAATTATAATATTGGAGTAATAACATTGTTTTTTCTATAAGAAAAGTTTCATAATAATACATTGTTTTTGTTATTTTATTGTGTTTATTATTACTATGGACTTTGTCAGATACCTCTTCATTTTAAGATATGTTAATAACAGACAACAATAGGTACTCAAAACTTATTATCCAGATTTAACAAATGTTAACATTTTGATTTAAAAGTGCCTTTTATTTTAAAAATTCATTGAATATTTCTATTTTTATTAACTATGACATTATATAAATATTATTTGTTTTTATAAGAATCTAAATTGTACAGTCCAGAGCAAAGCTCATTTTAAGTGATTACATTTTATTTTCAGTTAGGATTCTTATTAGATTCTAAGTACTTTTCCGTTTAAATGTGAAAGATAATGTCAGAAAGTAAAAAGAAAATAATTTAAGTGTTTAATGAGGTTCATCTTTTTAGACACATGGTGGCAAAATGACTAGCTCAAAACCTCATGTGTTGTAAATGGCAGAGTTGTAACTATTAAAAGGGTGTTTTATTTTTGTTTAATTTTTGCCTATTTCCCCTCATGAAAAATTTTTGAACTGGGGGCTGGGGTTTTGGCTCAGTGGTATAGCACTTGCCTCATGTGTGAGGCACTGGGTTCTGTTCTCAGCACTGCATATAAATAAATTAATAAAATAAAGGTCCATCAACAACTAAAAAGTATTTAAAAAATTTCTGAACTGATATAATTCTAAAAAATATTGGAAAATTTAATCAGATTTCATGTCTGAAAGAGAATTTTTCTTACAAATTCATGTAATAAAATAAAAACTTCTTTGCTTTTAAAAATGTTATTGAGGTTTTAGAATGTTTATTTGTCTGTTTTCTGATATTATAACAATATCTGATTCTGGGTAATATATGAAATAAAGAGTTTTGGAGTCTGAAAATTCAAGATCCAGCAACTCCCTAGGTTTAGCCTTTGATGAGATTCCCCTTGGATATGTTATATTATGACAAATGGCATCATGTTAAGAACACATGGGAGAGGGAGAGATCACATGGTAAGAAAGGAAATGAGAGAAGAGAGAGAGAAAGAAAAGGAGAGAGAAACATAAATTGGGGAGGAACCAAACTCTTAATAACAACTGTCTTGTGAAAACTAGGGTCCCAGGAGGACTACCTTAATTTCTCTTGAGAGCAGTCCTCTCAATGACTTCTTACTAAGCTCTACCTCTTAAAGGTTCCAACACCTCCCATGATGTCATACTGGTGACCACACTTCCAACTCATGAACACTTGGGGGAGATAACATTCTCAAACCATATCCAAACTATAGCAGGATATTTCTTCAAATTTTGAATTTTATTTATTTACTGATCTTTAAAGCTTTTAAATAGTAATATGTGCATATGTTGTAATTTTGAGAAAATTAGAGAATATTGGTAGGCAGGATTTGTGAATCAATATGAGATAACAATAAAAAGTTGGAAGTAATATTGAACTTTAACAGTTGAGCTACAACATTTAACATGTAGATCAGTTATAATGCTTCAGAGTCTCCTGTAAAAGACAAAATTCTGGACCAAAATGAAATTTGACTATAAGAATGTATATATTTAAAGGAAGATTGCTTCAATCATAAAGTAATTTGGTTGTCACTAGAAGTTTGGAAAAAATAACATTGAAATTATCTTTGTTAGTACCCATCTCCTTATACCTTAGGAATTAAATATTACTTTGTATATGGATTCTACTTTATATATACAGTAACTCTCCTTTTTACATTAGTATTTAGTAAGCAGACAACTGGGTATATCTCATCTGGTTTCCATTTAGCTTGTCTCAGTAAGTAAGTGCTCTCAAAAGTGGAATCAAAAGAGCATTTTTCCATGAAAATTGGTGAACTGCGTTTTTTTTTTTTTAGCGTCAATCTCATATGAGCTAGACAATTTGAATTTATCTCACTAAACTTACTAAAAAAAATAACTGCTTTCCTTTAACCACATAGCTGAGTTGACACTCAATACTATAAAAGCCCAATAAAAATATTTGGTTTATTAGTATAATTTAGTTTAGCTTCAAAGGCCCATCATTTGTTTTCTTTTGTATGATTTGTCAATCAGTTATTTTTGTTTTAATTGAAAAAAAATAAAGAGGCAAAAATAATATAAATCTTTTTTTGATTCAGTAAGGTAGGAAAAAATCCCCACAATTTAACAAGATTTTCATAAGGAAAAGTGATTTGGTACTCCATCTTCTTTAAAACCAAAAGACTGCTGCACATGTGATCTCAAAATGAAAGAAAGCAAGGTCATACCCATAGATATTAGATGATAATTATAATTTATTGAGGGATATCTGGAAGAGTACACTTGTAATGGGATTTAAAGTTATTACTCTAAGTTAATGAATATTTTTAAAATTATCAGTGTTAATATGATCAAAATCTATATATATATAATATCCATTAAGAAAGATCTGTGGGGCCCTCAATGATTTTTAAGAGTTAAAAACTGGGCTGAGGTTGTAGCTCTGTCGTAGAGTGCTCTCCTTGCATGTGGAAGGCACTGGGTTTGATCCTGAGCACCACATAAAAATAAAATAGAGGTATTGTGTCCATCTAAAACTAAAAAAATATTTTTAAAAAGAGTTAAAAACTAAGATATTTCGAAACTACTGATTTAGAACAGTTCCTAAGAGTTGCAGGAGTACATTAGTCCTTTTCTAAATGGCAAGAGGCACTGCTGTGTTTAATGTACTATGGAGAATAAAAATCTTACCGAGTAGATCAGTGTGTTCATGAGACACTGCATTGTTCATTAGTACACTCTAGAGCAGAACTTTATACTATATGTGTTTATAACATGTGTTTTAGAGACTAGGTGCTGTTTTATGCTTAGCTGGACTACAGTAGATAAACTATTGCTGAATAGTTATTTAAACTCTAGTAAGGCTAGAAGAGCTATGTAAAAACAGACTCTAGAAAGCAAAAATTAGAGCTTTTTAATAGCTTTTTTACAAAACATAAGTGGAATGAAATAATCTACTCATGCCTAAAGAATCAAAGAACCTGCATACCTGGTCCCTGGGAATTAGATTTGGAGGTGAATTAGCCCCACATATAGAATTAACTTTGAAACTGCTTTTGTTTTATTCTGATAATTTTCTCTTAAGGTGATCTTAGCTGGACTTTAGGACATAAATATAGTAGTGATTGAATGAAGTATTAAATGCTAATACACTATTGAAAATCTAGCAAGCTGTCAGTACATTTTAATGGATATTATAGAGCTATAACTCATCTTGTTTAATAATTAAAGAAAAAATAGGGTCTTCTTTTTTCATTCTCCAACAAATTATTAGACAAATTTTATGTTAAGATACTTAAAAGGTTTTTTAAAAATATAATTTAAATGATATAAAGTTATGTTACAATTCTGAAATAATTAAAAAATACATATGCTCTCAAAATATGACAATTTTTTTCTTTGACTAGCTCATCTTTGTGGAGAAGGATGGAGTCATATTGGGGATGCTTGTCTAAAAATCAACTCCAGTAGAGAAAGTTATGACAATGCAAAACTTTATTGCTATAATCTTAGTGGAAATCTTGCTTCATTAACAACTTCCAAAGAAGTAGAATTTGTTCTGGATGAAATACAGAAGTATACCCAACAGGTAACCATAACTGTGCTGTCATAACTATTATGTTATGACCCCATAACTCTTAGAAGTGATTAATTCTACTTGTTTTTTTAAAATACATTCTTACTAAGTTCTAGAAATGGAAGTGGAATTGATTTCAAATGATAGCAGGCAGAGGATTGATTCTATATGTATATTTGGTAATAAGTTTCTTATCTCATGTTTTACACAGTAAAGCAATGCACTACCAAGCAATACCAAGAAGTGATTTCATATGAATACATACTCTTAACATTTGCATATAATTTAATAATTTTAATACCACTCTGTATAGAGGGGCAGAGATGATTTTGGCTTGAAGATTTTCAGAATAGAGATTATCAGTTACTTGCTATGGCAACACTTAAATAATTCTGTGTTGGTATAAATGATTTTAAAAGCAGTATTGTGGACAGTATCTCTGCAACTTAATAGCAAGTTAACCTCCCTAATTCTGTGTTACTCATTTGTAAACTGGGATAATAAAAATAGCTATATGGACTATTAAAGTAATAAATGAGATATTACATATAAAGATACATTTTATTTTTGAGTATTTACTATGATCATCATTATTATTTCCATTTATGGAATATTACTTTTCTGTCTTTGTTCCCAGCACTGCTATTACTACTCTTGCCAAGAATCATTTAGAAGATTAATTATTAGGTAACAAAATTAACTTATTTGATGGGTAGTTAATATTGGAATTGATTATAGAAAACTATTTGCCCTAGACTAGTTTTTTATTTTTTTATGATAAAAAGCTAAGATTTTTGCAAGGACATTCAGTTCACTCTCATTGCCTATCCTAATTTTTGTGGTGGTATTAACATGTATATTTCTCAAAAAAAAACCCCAATAATGGATAATACAGTTTCTAATGTTAATTGTAATCTTTAAATCCAAAGCTCTCTGCCTCATTAATTTAATATATTAATTATATTTTTTAGCTTTTATAAATAGCCAAGTATTTTGAAGTTCATCTTATAATATGAAATTTGTTGGCCTCATGACAGATTTTGTTTATGCCTGGGACTAACAGGATAAAAAAACTATACTAATTAAATTTGTATTACCAATTGATTCATAAAACTTTGTTTTGTGAACTATAGTTATGTTTTCTGAAGGATGTATTGGTATTTATTTATTTAGTACACATTTATTAAGCACCCTTAGTGTACTTGGCAATCTACTGCTTGCCGAGAATGTGGAAATAAAAAGACAATCATTGCTTTCAAATGATTTTAGTGTAGGGGGATTTTAGTGTAGAGGGAAACAAACACAATTATATTAAATTGATAATTGCAATGATAGATGTGCACAGGGTGGTAGGAGATGATAGAGGGTGGACAGCTAGTCAGTAATGTGTACTTAAGGAGAGCTTGTATGAAATGGTTTAGCTAAGTTTTGTAGGAGTTGGAGTAGGCCAGTACTTGAGGATGTTTGTAAGGCAGTCTAAGAAAATTCCTCCTTTTTTTTTTTTAACACTTTGAGAGCCATAAGCTTAATGGCTGGAGGAAAAATGAATGTGGTGACATAGGGATGATCTATTGATTTTTAAAAATATTTTGGAAATATGTGACTGGTTTTTCTTTTTTTGTTGTTGTTGTACTGGGAATTGATCCCAGGGTTTTGCACATGCTTGGCAAGCACTCTACCACTGAGCCGAGTCCCCATCCCTAAACTAAAAGATTCTATTGTTTTTTTGTTTTATTTTTGTAATGGTAAGGATTGAACCCGGTCTTGTGCATGCTAGGCAAGCACTCTACCACTGAGCCACATCCCTAGCCCTGTACTTGTTTTTTTTAAGTGGTACTGAAGATTGAACCCAGGCAAAAACTCTACCTCTGAGTTATATCCCCAGCCCCTGAGGTATTTAAGTTTTATTTTTAAGCATATGGAATTTACAACATAAATTAAGATCTGTTTATATTCTTGTTAGGAGTTTCATGTCTATAACTACAAAAAAATGAGGGGTAATTACAAGAAACATGTAAAAATTATTAAATACCTGCTACTTAGGAAGACCTTATTATTGCAAGAACCACATTTTCAGAGTTTTGGAAAGTATTTAGCATTAAAGCTCTATTATCTTTTCTTGGTTTAAAACATTATTTTTAGTTGCTATCATATAATCTTGAAATATGCCATTTTAGAAGTTGCATATCTCAGGATTTTTTTGTGTCAGTAGCCATTTTTTTTCTTGCCTATTATAAATCATAAATATTCGGCTAATAATTAGCTAATAATTATTTTGAATCTGTGATGAACTTAGACTTGATAGTTTGCTGACTAGTAAACTATGTAAGTGAAGAATGTTTTGTTTTATCAGAAAGCCAAGCTTTTAGCAGAATTTCAAAGTGGAAACTTCTGCAAGGTGACATTCCATTAGGCATATCTTTATATAAAATGAATTATATCCCGAGTCATTGCAGTTGTATAAACTTAAGATAACCCTTCCTTGGCAAATAAAGATCAACAAATCCATGCACTTGAAAGAGATATGTTGGGTCAAATGATCATTTACTTATCAGAAATGGCTAATGAAATGTTACAGTGATTTATGGTGTGCTGCTATACATTTTCATAATATAGTAATTTATCTTTCATTTTCAACTGCCTGTCTGGTTCATTTACTGAGTAATAGTTACTTTAAATGTTTTATCAGCTGCTTCATTTTTGTTTCTCTTCTCTTCCTATATGATTCTTATCATGATGAGTTAGGGAGTAATATTTCATTTTAAATGACTTGTCTTTACCATAGATAGTTGGGAAATATAGGCAGAATTGCTGTAATGTGAAACATAGTTGTTAATCTGAAATATCTGTGTTGGATTGATTATCCAGAAGTTCTTATTACCAAGAACTTTAAAAATGTTATAGCTTATTATCAAAATATCTTTTAGAATAATGTGTGAAATATATGAGGACACAATGTGAAGCAATATGTGTGTTTTCAAAATTAGAAACACCATTTAATAAGTTCCATCTCTGTATCAGGCATTCTGCAAGATGGTAGAAAATAACCATTTTTATTCTAATGAACTTTGTTTAGAAAAATTTCTTGATTAATTACTATGTGTACTGTACTCCATTGGCAATATGAGATATGTCATGATGAAAATTCATAAGGGATTTTATTTTATTGAAGAAATGTCTGTTGGGAATATCTGTATAAAATTCATTGTATTTATGTACTTTGCAAATTTCTAGTTCTAAAGCTATCTTTTACACTCTCTAGGACCATTTGTACAACATAATTAGAATTAATAATGGAATAAATATCATTTTTATATTGATGGAGAGGCATATCTTTTCTCTACCTTGGCCCCCCCATAGTTTAATAATTAAAAAAGGAATGATGTGCAATTTTGAAACGATCTTACATGATAATAAATATTGGTAGCTTAGTATCTTAGAATATATGTATTATAAATATTAAAACTAAGGTGTTTATAATATAATAGAATTTTGTGATGATAGTAATTTGCATCAAGAATATATCATTTTTTGGATAACCATAACATTATATAGCATATTTTAAATCACAATAATGATTAAAATAAAGTATGTAAATATAGATTAGATTTTGATTTTAGTCTAATTTTGTTTTAATTTAAGTCTAAATATTGCTGAAAGCATTAAGAATAGTTATGTGGTTTTTGTGTACCTATTAAAATTTCAGAACAAAAATCATATGTTATCAGTTTTCTTGAGTACTTTATTAATGAAAGTGGATGACATTTAATCTGAAGTTGTGTAAAATGAACTTCGTAGTAGTGAAGGTCTGAATTAGGAGAGTCAGCTACTCCTTTCTCAGTTTTTTTTTTTTGTGAAATCATGTTATGAAGTGTTCATTTAGATTCTATACTATGTTTGTTGATTTTGTTTTCTGTTTTTGTACAGTGCAGATGGTGACAATTTATCATTAGATTCTTAACCCCATAACCTATTAACCCTTTAATTTGATAGTAGTAATAATACTGACAGGTGCAGCAGTAGCAATATGTTCAGTTTTATAATGATTTTGCTTCATATGATAGATATTTAAATTAGGCATTTATTTATACCCCCATTCCATAGAAAACAGACTCTTAAAGGCTAAATAAATGACCCTAAACATGTATATAAACAATAAAACTATACTTAAAATAGTGTTCTATTCTACATCATCTAAAATGTGCCAGGATTATTAATTATTATTGATACTAAAATTGACTACTACACAGGTGGTTCTATATATTGTCCAGTGTAATTTTAAATTGAAATCATATTTTTATTTGATGAAGAACACGAGTCAGTAGTTTTACATCTAACTTTTAAAAATGCCTCTTTCCTGTTTACAGAAAGTGTCACCTTGGGTAGGCTTGCGCAAAATCAATATATCCTACTGGGGATGGGAGGACATGTCTCCTTTTACAAATACGACTTTACAGTGGCTTCCTGGTGAACCAAATGATTCTGGATTCTGTGCATACCTAGAAAGGGCTTCAATCGCAGGCTTAAAAGCAAATCCTTGCACATCTATGGCAGATGGACTTGTCTGTGAAAAACCTGTTGGTAAGTATTCCTGAAAATTAGCATTTATTTAAAAATGTTTTTTTTTTTCTTTTTTGGGGGGTAGGGAGGATGAATACCAGGGATTGAACTCAGGGGCACATCTCCAGCCTTATTTTGTATTTTCTTTAGAAGACAGGGTCTCATTGAGTTGCTTAGGGCCTCACTGGCTTTGACCTCCTGATCTTTCTGCCTCAGGCTTCTGAGCTGCTAGATTATAGCCATACACCACCACACTGGGCTAAAAATGCATTTCAAGCCCTCTGTGCACCACCTTTTTCCAGGGTATAATCTGAAGTAATTCACACCATCTTTTTATGATACACTGATTCCCTGATATTTATTTTTATCCACATTCCCCACTTATTGTTATTTATCTCAGCATTAATTAAAAATAAAATTATATTGTTTTATATATCTATTTACTAAAATAGTGTGATTATGAATATATAGTTGTAGTTATAGTAATAATCTCTTAATTTGCTAATGTCTTTTACATTTATCATAGTAGTGTTTGAAAGATTTGTCTTTAAGACTAATGATTGAGACTTTTTAACCTTATAAATGTTTTAGTTGTCAAGTAAACAGAAATATTTGTATCTTTTGAAATAGATTTTCATTAAGTGAGAAAGTAATATTGACTTCTTATAAAATTTTGCATATTTATTGTGGTAAATATGTATAATATAAACTTATCATTTCAATTATTTTTAAGGGTACATTTAAGGACATTAAGGACATTCACACTGTTGTACAACTATCAACACCTATTCATCTCCAAAACATTCTTATTTTGCAAAACCACAACTCTGAACTCGTTAAATCATGGCTGCCAATTTTCCACCTGCTTAGTGCCTGGAAACCAGCATTGTTTTGTCTTGGTGAATTTGAGACTTAGGCATCACATTTTGTAGATCATAGTTTTTATACTTTTGGGAGCAGCTTACTCTTAGCATAGCATATGTCTTCACAGTTCATCCATGTTGTAGCGTGTCAGAATTTTGAGGTTTAATAACATTTCCGTTATATGTATGTGCCACATTTTGTTTACCCGTATATCCATCAACAGCCACTTGGGTTGCTTCTGCCTTTTAGTTATTGTGAATAATGATGCTATGAATGTGGGTACACAAATATTGAGTTTTTGATTTCACTATTTTTGGGTACATAGTATAAAGTGAAATTGCTAAATCATATAGTAATTCTGTTTGAGTTTTTAAGGAATTGCCATACTCTTTTCTATAGAGACTGCACCAATTTTACATTCCCACCAGCAGTGCATAGTTTCTACTTTCTCTATATCCTTATTATTTACTTTTTAAAAAAAGATAATAACTATCCTAAGACTATCCTAAGGGTATTATGAATATTGTATTTGCATAGACATTTTACAGTGAGTTGTATGTTTATTGTTTGTTTATGTCAGACACATGTTCACTGCCAAGATGTTTGCTGTGATAACATGTGGAATATTTACATAAAAAAATTGTGGCTGGGGAAGTAAATAATGTATAGTATCAAGTACATAGAAAAACTAGGTTGCAGATTATATTACTGTTCATAATTTTTAGAACGGTACTATTTGTAAGGAATTTAAAACTTTACAGGAATTACAGATTTTCAAATTTAATAGTAAATTTAAGTAGTATTGACATATCATCTTTATTTTTATTTATCACATTATGTTATGATGACACACTTGGTTTAATTGAAACATTCCATAAATAACAGAATGAAACCCATACATTTGTGTTAAAATGCACTTAATTAATGAAATACTTATATTGCTGATTTATTCCAGTTAGCCCAAATCAAAATGCAAGGCCATGCAAAAAGCCATGCTCTCTAAGGACGTCCTGTTCCAACTGCACAAGCAATGGCATGGAGTGCATGTGGTGCAGCAGTACAAGGCGGTGCGTCGACTCCAATGCCTACATCATTTCCTTTCCATATGGACAGTGTCTGGAGTGGCAGACTGCCACCTGCTCCCGTAAGTGTTTACCTAGAGTGACTGTTTATTTAACAACAACATAAATTATATTTCTGTGACAGAACGAGGAATAAGACATTTTAGGAAGTTTCAACTAATGAGGAAAAAATATTGTCACAGCCATGTTTAAAATCTGCTAGTGGTATTAGCCTCTGATTTGTATTGTATCATCATTTTGAATTCCACTAAATATCTTTCCCTAAAAATTAACATTTTGCCACATTTATAGTCTCTTCCCTCTGAACTCTTGAGTGTAGATTGGAGGTGACATGACACTTCATGGCAATGCTCACCTCAAGAATCACATATTGCTTTGTTGTTCCTCTTTAGAGTCCTTTAATGTAATACAGTTCTCCTGTCTTCTTTTTCTTACATGACTTTGATATTTTTGAAGAATCTTATTGTCAGTTGTTTTATAAGGCTGTAAATTTGTATTTGTCTAATTATTTTTTTATGATTAGATTCACATAAGCATTTTTTTGATCAAAAAATATCAATGTTGATACACATATTACAAATGCAGGATGCAGAATCTTGGTGTCATATGGAGAGTCATGACAGTAGAGAAGCACTGGACTTGCTGTGGGTTACTCTTCAAGAGAAAGCTCTGTCCCTTGCTGGTCCCATATTTTATATGGAGTACAGGATAAGGATACATCTGACTGAAGTTTTGATACTGGGTATCTGCCTCAGTCTGGCTGGGCACAATCAGGAGCCACTTGTCAAAAGAAACTAACTTTATTTTTAGAACCACACACGCCAAAGAAAACAGCCTCTCAGGAAAAACCCTCAGAGCCTCAACTGCCACCACCGGCTTTCCACAAGCCTCTCTCTCCCCCCACAAGCTTCTTTCCACCTCCCCCAATCCTCCTGCTCTTGAGGCCGATTGGCTGGGTCACGTGGGCGGAGCCAAAAAAGTCCCCCAATGAGCAGCTCCGTGGTCTGAAAGGGCAGGGAAACAGTCCAATGAGCATCACCGCAGAAGAGCCAATCAGCTAGATGTTGCTGGGGCCGAGGAGCCAATCAGCTAGATGTTGCTGGGGCCGCTGTGAGCCAATCATCAGCCGGCAGCTGGAAGTTTGCTGGGGCCCCTTCGGCTGTGGCTCTCAACAGGTATCCTATGGTTATGAGAGTGGCTCTGCTTGCCAAATAGACTGCATCAGAATGCAGCTGCCAAGGGAATTACATCACTCTTCTTATAGCACTTGGTGGCCTGGGGGGAGTTCAGAACCTGTGCAGCTCCTTCTGCTTGGGAGAAGGTCCTTGCCCTAGCTAGTACTGTGCTAACAGAGAATATGGTTTGTCTTCCCATAATCCTGTCTCCCATACTGAGGCTGATCAAAAATGTGCCTGTCCATAGGGACCTGAATTAATTGTTCTGTTCATATTCGGAATTAGAAAGGTGAAAAGGTAACTCTTGCTGCTCCTGCCACCCACTTCTCAATGTTGCATCCATGTCCCACTCATAAGGTACTGTCCATCTTATAATTGATCTAGATTTTTTTTAAAAATAATATGCTTTGTAGGGGCCCAAGAGTTACCATTTCATCACCACAGGTAGCTGTAGAATTATCTGAGATAGAGTTGGTGTCCAAATTTATGTTCATCCAGGGCTCCTTGATTTGAACAAAGCAAAACATTCATTTACTTGCTAAGTGTTAACAGGCATAGATAAAATGAAAGGAATTTTTTATTCTTTCTCAGTTTTCTATTTCTCAAATTCTGAGTGTCAAGACAGAGGGACCAAGAGTCCTTAGAATTTATTTTTTTTCCAGTACTTAAACCTGTAAAAAGCAGAGTTTGAAATGATTGCATTCAGTGAATACACTGGTGTGTTTATGCCAGCCTCCAACGCAATTGCAGTTATAGTTCAGCCAAAGGGGACACAGATAATTACTTGGGGTGCAGTATCTGTTAAACTCAGGCATGTGTTCATGGTTGAAAGTTATTAAATGGACAGAGGAAGAAACTATTTCAATTCTCTACTAGAGAAACCTCTCTAGGAGATCTTTATCCCAAGTTTAATTCCTTTTTCTTAAAGATAGCTCTCAGTTCTCCACTGTCATTATCTTGCCTCTCCTCCCATCCTACAACTCTTTTAGGTCCAGTTCAGGGTTTTGTATCAGTTCACCAGCTTCCTTTTGGTCCTTTCTGCTGGGATGGGGCCACTTAAAGGTTTTCTAGGAGTGTGGGCCATAACTTAGTTTTCCATCTAAATTTCCCAAATATCCTCAAGATTTTCTTGTAAGACTGATGGCTGTTTTGTATTCCTTCCATAGAAGCCATCAGTGGCAACGTGATTGTGATGAGGTATAGACAACCATCCCTGCAGGAGCTTGCATCCTTCCCATCCACTGCTCTTCCTCTCTTCTCCTTCTGAGCTTTAAAATTTTGCTTTTAAGAGGTAGGCTGTTCAAGTGAGCAGTAAACAACTTGATAATTCTGGGATCTCTTTTGGTGGTGAATCTATTCTATTGTTTTTTGAGGCTTGTGAGTGTCTGCTCACTGCTGGGATCTAGTGGCCTCCGGAAAACATGGCCTTGTAGTTATTATTAGCCCTTCTTGCTTGAATGACTTATCTTTCTACTTAGAGGGAGTCAGCTGTGTAGACAGTGCCAGGTGGACACTCACTGGCTTGTTCTGGCTTTTGGTCATTCCCAGGGAGGATGGCTCCTTGCCTGAGGAATCTAGTCAAAAACCAGTGTTTACTCCTTATGGGTACCACTGTTGCTTATAGAGACAAAAAAGTGACATACTACAGTCTAGAATGCCCAGCTGAAGTTGTACACACCTTCTCTCCCAGGCTCTTGTCATAAGCTTAGAATGGGCATATCTGGGTATATTATAGGTTGAGCTCCTTGTTGCTATCTCCTTTTAGGGACTTTGTATAGACACTGAGGGGTTGTTGGTCTGAAGTAGCTTTTGTAGCATAGAAATCATCTTATAACTAGAGGCCAGCTGCTAGGGGAGTTGACTATCAGGGCTGGAGACTATTGAGGAGATGAGATGTTCTTTAGCCTCTCCTATCCTAAGTGGTCCTCTTTGTCTTTCCACAAACATTGATGTTAAGTGAAAGAGGCCAAACATGGAAGATTAGGTACGGATAGAGTTCATTTAGATAATATTAAAAAATGGACAAAACTAAACTGTATTGTTTAGGAATGCATATGTAGGTGGCAATAGAGTAAGGCACAGACTTGTTCTCATAAATGTCAGGTAGTAGGTAGTTCCGGGAGAAGATTGGGGTGCTGACTGGGAAGTGGCAGAAGGGAGGCAATGTTTCACTTTCAAGCTGTGCACAGGAACAGAGTGTTTATTTATAATACTTTATTAGTCTCACATTTTTCTTTATGTTCTACTCCATATGTGTGATATATTTCACTTTAAAAAAGGAAAAAAAGGTAGGTTAAATGAAAGTTTCTAAGCTTTTATTCTCTTAAGAACTAAGTTACTTAGAGTGAAATCTGAGTTATCTTCTCTGTCATGTGTGCCATTCCTGTGGCTGTGTAGGCTTCATTTGTGCTGACGATGTCAGCACTACTATAATGGTTGTTTTTGTTGCAGAGTTTTTAAATTATATGGTCTGTGCATCATTGTGGGGAAGAAGGGTATTGTATCTTACCTCAAGGCAACCTCCTATTTCTGCAAGTAGAACTTACCTGGCACTGATCCGCTTTTTGTGAAAAACAAATTTATTTTCAATTATTATTATTTTTTTCTTGTACTTTTAACCAGCAAATTTGTACTGAGTTTTAAAAAAAATGCCAAAAAATAAAATTGTGACTAGGGGTGAATATGACATTCTTGCTCAAAATCTAAGAACTAAAGCAACTATTATTTTTTCAAGTTGTTGACCTTTGGATGATGACTTTTTCATGCTTTTAGCTTCATATATATATATATATATATATATATATATATATATTTATTTATTTATTTTTTGTGGTGCTGGGGATTGAACCCAGGGGTTTGTGCATGGGGGGCAAGCACTTTACCAACCAAGCTATATCCCTATCCCTAGCTTTGTATCTTTTTATGATTAATTATATATAATAGATTTATATTATCATTTTCTACTATAGGTGCCTGATTATTTAACATTTATAGTAATCTTTAAAAAATATTTATAGTTTCAAATAAAGCATTATTTTAGAAAAGGTCTAAGTTTCATGTTGCTTTTAGAAAACTGTGTCAGTGATTGGTTTTCTGGTAAAAGGAACTTAAGGGAAACTCATCTTTGGAAATGAGAGGCAAATGTGAATTTAGCAATATTCTCCAGTTACTATATTGCAGCATCAATGTTTAAAATTCACAAATTGAAGAAAGGAAATATATTTCAAGATTAATTTTGCCTAACGGCTTCTGAGAAAGCTTTGTTAATAAGTAGGATTATTAATAATTGATAGCTTTAAAATAGATGCTTTATTTGTGAAAATGAATTTCTAAGGGCATTATTTAAAGTAATAATAGAAGATTTAGTTTTTAATATATAGAAGTTCAAATGAAAATGAAACCAAAGTGAAATAGTAAAACTAGAATAATAAGAAACTTGAGAATATATTTTTCACAAATCTGTATTTCTTTTTTCTTGGTTCCGGGGATTGAACCTAGGGTACTTAACCACTTAGCAGGGTGTTGCTAAGTTGCTTAGGGCCTTGTTAAGTTGCTGAGACTGGCTTTGAACTCTCTATCCTTTTGCTTTCAGTCTCCCTAGCTTCTGGGATTACAGGAGTGTGCCACTGTGCTTGGCAAAAATTTGTATTTCTTTTAGTATTTGGTAGATTTTATTTACTTGTCTAATTTAAAACTTGATATTTCTTTACAATTAAAGGCAGTCATTTCTTAAATTTGATGACAGTTTTCTTGTGGATTGATTTTTCCAATCCTTACACATTTAAAAAAAATCACAATGAATATTTTATAATTTGACATTAAAAGCCCCCCAAATAAATAAAATAAAATGATTGATTTAATGTTCTTTAATTCAAGTATAGTCTCTACACTATCCATAACATTAAGGACAATAGCACAGCATATATAACCTTTCCTGTAATACTGTTTTTTTTTTTTTTGATTTAAAAAAAAATGACAGCGGAATGCATTACAATTCTTTTTTTAAAACATTTATTTTTTAGTTATAGGTGAACACAAATCTTTATTTTATTTTTTTTATGTGTGCTGAGGATCAAACCCAGTGCCTCATGCATGCTAGGTGAGCGCTCTACCTCTGAGCCACAACACCAGCCCCTGTATTACCATTCTTATTACACAATATATACCATGATTTTTTCATATTTCTGTTTGTATATAAAGTATGTTGACACCCAATTTGTGCTGTAATACTATTTATCTGTAAGAAAAATATAAAACAAAAATCTGTTAGTTTTTGAGTCATTATTAAATACTAAAAAAATGATTTTTTTTAAAAAAAGTTTTTCAACAGTACATGTTATTTTCCATTCCTGAACCAAAATGAAACCAACATTACCCTATTCAATAGTTTTATATTGAAAATGAAATCCAAGAGACTTAGATGTTGCTTTGAACATGACATTTTATAACTTGTCCTTAAATCCTAAAATTGATTAGATAAACAAAACTAAAAGATTAATAGTTTGTCATTCAGGGCAAGAAACCCAGGATTCTTTAACCTAAGATTTCCCTACCTGTTTAGAAAGCACTAGCAGGAGTGTTGTATTGAGAATAATTTAATTTGTCTGTAATGCTAAGATATCTTAATGATCATCTTTCCTTAAAAATAATTCTAAGATAAAATTTGTTTTCCTAGGAAATACGCATAGGCTATAGTATATTAGAAATCAAATTTATTCTGCGTAAGACCTAGGTAAATTTTACTGCAAACCATCACATGATAGTAAATAATTGGAATGTGAACATACCATAACTAATTTGATTTTTGCATTATGTCCTATGAATTATACAGCAAGCCAATATAGTTTTGAGGACAATGGGAGTAAACCAGTTAATAGTACCATGGACTAAGTACATAGACATAAGAGAAATATTTCAAACCACATAAACTAAGGAGGGATGGCAGGATATGAAATGTTCATTTTTCTTCTAAATGAAGTGTCATTCACTACTGGGCACTGTTGGAAGAAATGTGAATTTCAAAGGGAAAACTCTCCATACTAATGAATTATTTGTCTACAAGGTTAACAATAGCTGTTTGTGTTCAATGACTCAGAGTAGTCTTTCTTTTTTATTTCTTATTAAGGAAATATAAGAGGTAGTACTTACTCTCTATCTTCTTTTATCCAATCTCTTGATTGGATAAAAGAAAAGAATTCACAAAAAAGAATATCATCATTGATAAATTCTTCAGATCTTTAATGTTCTAGTGTGTATACACAGCTACCATAATGAGTTCCTGATATTCATCAAGAAATCCACACCATTCCTATTTATAGTAATCTGAGGAACATTTTTCTTTCAGCTATGTTAAACACTGAGTGCCAGCTAAGTTGTTAATACTACACTAATGAAACTGAGTCTGCCAGAAATTTACCTTGTTTTTCCCCCCTCTGGACTTTTCTAGCAAGTGATAGAAAACATCATTCATGGTGCTTTAAATGTATATCACTATTTTTTTTTAATAGATAAACAATTCTCAAATAAAGTATACCAGTCATAACAAAGTAAAAATAAAAGAATTACAGAATATTTCAGCCCAGTATAGGATGCTGGGATTAAAGCTTAAAGCATGACATAGCAATGATTATGAATATGATGTCAGACTTTCATGACATCACAACAATAGTAAGTGTAGCAAGTCTCATAGGTTATACCTCAAAAAGTTGAGCTTCAGCAAATCAGTCTTGGAGAGATATCCTGTAGCCCTGAAAGAGTGCACATAGCTGGTTGTTACTGAAGCAAGTATTAGGTTCCTTTGTTCCCACTTGGTGTGCTCTTGGGGTGAAATTGAGTTTATTTATATAAGCAAATATTAGTATTTTGGACCCTTGGGAAGAGCATTGGTTTTGTGAAGCAGTCTAAATGGGGTTCAGGAATCTCAGGGAATGGGCAGGCATCACTTATACTTGATGTCCAGGGGGAAAGTGCAGAGGTTCTCATTGAAGGACCCGTAGAATGTATAATAGGGGTGGCTAACACAGCTCTGTATCACAGACAATGGTACAGCTCATTTGTAGGCACCTGGATCAGCTCCTGAAAAGTATTAATAGTGAGAAGGTCCTCAGGAGTCTCTAAGTTTTGACTTCATTTTTCTCCATGTCATGATTATCATCCCCTTTTAAAAAAATTGCCCAATTCAGTTCATTTATCTCATCTTTGTTCATTATATATATTTTATTTGCTTGCCAATTCCTATCTCATAGATACTAGTGCAAAAATACATTAACTTCATTAACTATAATTGATGACACTATCTTTTTCATAATTAAGTTTATTTTTCCTTTAGCTTACAATTCTATTTGACTATAAAGTCACATAACATATTTTTTAATGTTTCTATCACACAGCTCAGAATTGTTCCGGATTGAGAACCTGTGGACAGTGTTTAGAACAGCCTGGATGTGGCTGGTGCAATGATCCTAGTAATACAGGACGAGGACACTGCATTGAAGGGTCTTCACGGGGACCAGTGAAGCCTGCTGGGATTCACAGTAGTGAGATGGTACTTGACAGCAGTCTGTGCCCTAAAGAAAGAAACTATGAGTGGTCCTTTATCCAGTGTCCAGGTAATCAAAATGTGATGAAAATAATTACAGTTTATCCTTGAATGAACCAATACATTATAAAGTTTTATTGTTCATACCATTGTATATCTTAGAGTTCTCTAGAAATTCAGTATACACACTGAAACTTTATGGTAAGTATTGTAGTGTTGCCTGTAACATCTGTGAGTCATCTGGCCTTATTTTGAAAGCTGCCAGTGGTATTCATTACTAATCAATTTTGAAGAATTAAATGTAATTTTTCAGGGGCTTACTTCATAGGAAATCAATACTTATGCTAAATATAATCAATCTTCTTGAAAATTAATTTATTCAGACATTTTTATAGAGTGCCTACTTGTGCTAAAGAGTATTTTAGGTATTAAAGTCACAAAGATTAACGAATTAGACTGAAATCATTGCATTTATGTAACTCATTTTAATTAAAATTCATAAAATTAATTTCATACAATGAAGTTAGAATAGTGGTAAGTGCTAGTATCTAAATAAAGGAAAGAAGAGGATGAGGCTTGCTATTTAAAGTAGATTGAGAAAATACCACACTAAAAAGTGAAATAAACACCTGAAGTAGATGAGGGAACAAATCACAGGGTTAATTGGGTAAAGAGTGGTCCAGAAGAGGTAACAGCCTGACAAAGGTAGTTGGGTGAGGTGGTTTATTTGGGAGATGATTTTAGGAGGCATAGTGAGGGAATGAAGAGAGTTTCAAAAAGTAACCAGAAAACTAATAATATGTACATTATGAATCTGGCTACCACACTGGGAAACTGGGACTCAGACCCACCAAGGACTTACAAAGAACTATGTCGAATGCTCCTCAAAATTAATCCCACTGAGGTACTGGGAGGCTGGGGCATATAACCACTGCCTCCTATCCCCCACTGGTTAAGCAATGTTCTTGTAGATGTTAATTCCCTGCTAGTTCAGAAGTATATCAGCATGTCTGACCAATAACTTTCCCTGGCACAAGTGAAAACCCTGAGGCAGAAAATAGAGAGATGCTGCAGAACATGCCTTAGATGAGACACTGACAATGTACAGTACTGAGACCAGATGAACCAAGAGAATGTGGCACATATTGTAACAGTACCCTATACAAAGACTATGTTATATATATATAAAAAAACAATAACATGGATCAAACTATTGATTCACAGAAAAAGATAGATGAATCATAAATGTATTTTGCTTAAAGGAATAAGCTTGATCCAATGACTACAGTTTGTATTATTTCATTTAGAAGACAATTTGAAACAGACGAAAGTATGTGGATGAAAAATTAATCAGTTATTTGCTAGGAGTAGTGTTAAGGATTGATTTTAAGGAGACATCACTTTGAAATTATGAGGTACAGAACTTCTGGGGGTATGTTACTGAGATAGTAGATATGTAACTCTATGCATTTATCAAATCCATGCTTTATGCTAGGGATGTAGCTCAGTAGTTGTTTTAGTCAGCCTTTTCACTGCTGTGACTAAAAGACCTGAACTGAACAATTTTAGAGGAGGTAAAGTTTATTTGGAGCTCATGGTTTCAGAGGTCATAGTGCATACACAGCAAGTTTTTTCCTGGGGGCTTGAGGTGAGGCAGAATATCATGTGGAAGAGTGTGGTAAAGGGAAGCAGCTCACATGATGATCAGAAAGCAGAGAGACCCCACTTGCCAGATACAAAGTATATACCCACTACTTCCCCAATGCCCATCTCCTCCAGCCACACCCTACCTGCCTTTAGTTACCACTCAGTTAATCTCATCAAGGAATTAATTAAGGCTCTTATAACCAGATACTTTCACTTCTGAATGTTCTTGTATTGTCTTATACATTAGCTTTTGGGGGACATATCAAATCCAAACTCTATCAGTGATAGAGCACTTGCCTAGCATGTTCAAAGCTCTATGTTTGATCCCTATGACTATCCACCCCCCTCCAAATTCTTGCTGCATATCACAAATTTAAAAATAAGTTAACCATGAAGTTAGGGGATCCCAGGTTTGAAATGTAAATTGTGAGAATTGAATCTACCCATATTATTGCAAATGCCATAATCTCACAAAAAAATGACTTACTTAACTTTTGGAAAAACAGTGTTTTGATACTAAAAGGAGAAACCCAAACATAAATACACTGTACTCTGGTAAATGTGTTTCTCACAGGTACAAGTTAACAGTTTCTAGCAATACTTTATTTGTATACTGGATTTGAACAAATAAGTAATTTGTATTTAATGGGAGCTAGGCTTCTTACTTTCAGAGAAAAGGTTAAAAATAAGCCAAGAGTTAAGGCTAAATGAACTGTTTGGTGCTAGATAAAAGCCTAAGAGAGTAGTATGAATTCATTTTTATTTTAAAAAGTACATAGAAGTAAATATGTGTGTGTGTACATGAGTTAGTATTCATGCAATTGTTTCCTAGCTCTGTTTGTTGAGAGGGTCTAGAAGCTTTGACAGCCATCAGTGGATGTATTAAATAGATGATTAGATATAATTGAAGAGATCATTAATAAACTAGAAGGTAAATATGAAGAAAGTGAAATTCAGAGTTCAGAAGAAATATATATTTCTTATATATAAAGGAAAGAGATTAATTTAAGCAATACAAGATGCAAAGTATGAAAATAGGTTGTTAAAGATAGGGAGGATATAATGAAAAATTCTGAATATTTTTAATAGAAATTTTAGAAGGAGAAAATGGAAAAGGGTAGAACGGTTACTACCATCCAGTTCAAATATAAAATAGGATTTGCTAGGAAAATTTTGTAATTCAAGAGTTAGAAGAATGCATGTGATTTCATAAATTCTTTGAATATCGAGAAATTTGTGTTTAGGTCAGACATAATTGTTCTGCATGCAGTGGCATTGCAGAAGAAAAAGATATGAACCCTACAAGTCTCTGCAATTTTTTTTTAAGGGACGAGCAGGAATAATATATGTGACAAGAGAAATGAGTGCTTCTTTGTCAAGAAAAAATTTCAGTTAGCAATGATCCAGAGATGGTCTCTGGAGTTCTGTGACTGGTATTATCATAATTTTGCATTGAGCATTCAAAAAGCAAGAATAGAAAAGTATAGATACAAATTTTTATGATTACCTGTTGTCAGTGCTTATGATGAATCCATAGTAGTTAAAGCAGTGTAGAATTGGTACAGGAACAGACAGATAAATCCATGAAAAATGATAGAAATTGTAAAAACATGCCCACATTAAAAACAGTCCTTGACTTAACATGGTTCTACATAACTATTTTTTGACTTTACAGTGGTATGATAGCAATAGGCATTTGGTAGAAACTCTACTTTTAATTTTAATCTTTTCCAGGCTAGGGATAGGCACAATACTCTTGTGATGCTGGGCAGCAGCAGTGAGCTGACTTCCCAGTCATCCATGCTGTCACTAGGGTGAACCACTGATACACTGCAGTGTACAGTGTTGCTAAGCTGAGAAGTTGGGTAGGTTAGTTGTATTAAAAGCATTTTTGAAGTAAGGCTTTTTTTTTTTAACCTTAAAATGGATTTATTGGGATGTAATCCCACCATGATCGTGGAACATCTGTGCTTATGGTTTCTTTGTTCTTTTTGTGTTCTTTATGAAGCTGGGTACTTCATAAAGGAAAGAGATTAATTTAACTCATAATTTTAAAGTTCAGGATCAGGCAGCTCCATCTGTTCAGCCTCTGGTATATCACAATGTGGCAGAGAAATGGAAAAGGAAACTGCAGTGTGTAGAAGAAGCCAAGCACACTGGGTGGCCTTGTTTTATAACATCCTCTCTTGAAAGAACTAACTTTGTCCTGGGGGAACTACACTGATCCCTTCTAAGGGTACTGCCCTAATTACCTTCCAGTAGGCCACACCTCTTAAAGGCTCCATCATCTCAACACCACCACACTGAGGAACAGGCTGCCAGCATATGAACTTTTGGGGGCACATATCCAAACCATAGAATATGGGGAAAAAAAAAACAATGACATGCAACAGGCAAGGATGGTCTTTTGAATAAATGATGCTGGGTTAGATTAGATCTCTGAAATTTGTATCTAGACCCCTATGTCATATGGAAAAATTAATTCCATACAGATTTTGAATCTAAACGTGGAAGCTAAAACAGTGCAACTTCTGGTATATGACATTAGCATGACATTTTTAAGAACTTTGAAGTAGGGAATGCTTTTTTAAGCAGGATACAAAAAATCAACTATTTGGAAAATTATGATATAGTGTACTAAAATATTGAGAAATTCTATTTATGAAAAAGCATCATTGAGAGAGTGAACAGAGTAAGCTATAAGATGGGAGAAGGTATTTATAATACATACACCTCACAAATAAAACTTATCGAGAATTAAGATTTTTCACAAACCAGTAATAAAATGTATAATAGAAATATGGGCAAGACACTTGAACAGGTACATCACAAAGACAATATTCAAAAGGCTCATACATTGATAAGGTGTTTAACTTCTTTAGTAATGAGAGAAATGTAAATTAAAAGCACATTAAAATGTCACCGCTCACCTACAAGTATATTTAAAATGAAGTGGTAATTTTTAAGTGTTGGCATTAATGTGGAACAATTGGATATTTCATATTCTGTGTTTTGAAAGTCCAAATGGTAAATATTTTGGAACTATTGTGTAGGGTATGCTTGTGATCCAGGAATTCTGGGTGTAGCACACCAGGTAAAAAATTTGCCTGGGACTTTACTTTATATTGCCTCTAAGCCTGGATGATTTTACATTTTTAAATGGTGGAAAGAAGAGGGAAATAAGGACAGGAGGAATTTGCGACTGTATTCACACCATCTGAAATGTTTATTCTCTGGTCCTTTATAGAAAACATTTGCCAACTCTGCTAGAGGTTAATACCCAGCAGAGAGTTACACAGGCTCTCCAGGAGAGATGTACAAGAATGTACATAGCAGCATGGTTTCAGTAGATCGAATCTGGAAGTCACCTAGGTGTTTAAATATTAAGAGTCAGATCAGTACAGAAATTGGAACAACTCCATA